ATATCTTAAGCTTTCTCTGAACCTTCCATTGCTTGTCACGCGCAGAAAGTTGTCCCGCCTATGTTTTTTCCATAGTTTATAGCATAGTGACTCGTCATTTTCCCGATAATTCATTCACCCGGCTCCCTACGTTTCTGATCGCGTTGGTCATGCACATAAGGTCAATCCAATATATTCACGCACTAAAGAAATACCAATTTTTACCTCTGCTGTTATCCATTAACGAGTGGAACGCGCTGCCCTCAAACATCGTCGCTATTACAGAACCCTCCCTTTTCCAGTCTGCAGTACTAACTTACTTAGAAGTTGACAATAATTTGTAACCACCATTGACATTTAATGTGTAACGCATGCTTAGAGAATATTTATTGCTATTTCTTGAAATATGTTTCCTGTTATGGTGGGCTGCTTACTGTGTTTTTTGCTTATTGTGTTATTAGTAATGTTGCTTGGGCTATCGGTCTGTTTGGTTACGAGTATTACTCCCTGACATGTTGTTTTACTGATGCTATAGTAACCTCTTGTATGTATCCCCCTTATGTAATGCCCTCCGGGCTCTTAAGGTATTTAAATAAATAAATAAATAAATAAATAAATCCCAGCGCGTTTTATTCGCCGCTTGCGGCCTGCCGATATCTCTACTCGTCACCGCGGCGATCACCTTCGTCATCGAATACGTGAACAAGATGCGAAAGGACAGTAGCCAGCCTTCGGACACGGGCTTCTGCTGCCCAGACGAAGCCCGTGAACTCGTCATGTCTGTCAACAGGAGAACGAGTCCGTGCGTAGACTTCTTCGCCTACGTCTGCTCGAACATGATGAGCGACGAGCTATCAGTCGAAGCTGCGCTTCAAGCTCAGCTGCAGAAAGCCATCATAACGGGCGTCATGCCCAAGGGCGCCCCAATGGGCGAAAGCGGGACGCTTCCTGTACATATACCTACCAGACGTGCACACACGCCATGTTACGCCACGAGTCGTTCACTGCATCCCTGGCGACTGCCCTGGCTCTCGACGCTGTGGACCTTCTGAGGAAAGCGGACTCTCGTAGCGCCATGATGTTCTGCGTAGCCGCGCAGTTGAAGTATTCCCTGGAATCGGTCGTTCGCGTGACCTACTTCGACCGTACGAAGCTGTATCTACTAGCTAAGCCTATTTGTCCACTGGACGATCGTAATACGGTCGATATCGCCAGCACGGTCGAAGCAGTGCAGGCTATGATAAACACTACGGTGACCACAAAGCAGGTGGTCGTAATGGCGAAGCAGCTATGCCAGAACGTTAGCCGTGTCCCCGAAAAGCTGGCAACGTACAATCTCCGGCAAGGCACCAGTAAGTTCAGCCGAGAGATTTGGAACGTCGATGAATTCGAGGCAGCACTAGAGGCACACGGCTTACTGTTCAAAAACGTCCAAAACATCCGCGTGCGAGGTGAACCAAGGATTAGATTTGTTTATAATCTTTTCGCTGGCGATGCTCTCGATGGTTCGAAAGCAGCGTACCTTATCTGGCACGCAGTCGTTAGTGGTGTTGGGGAATTCAACGTCAAATCTGACACCGTCTCTTCCAATATACTCGAAATCTGCACGAGCAGCATCTTCCTCCTGAGCGGACTGTGGGGATTGTTCCAAGCGGAGCTCTTAACAAGCAGTCAAAAGGATGCCGAAGCGAAAAACATGTTTGCTACCGTGGGAAGCGCCGCGAAGGAACAGTTAAGAAGAGCGCCCTCTTCGATCCCGAAGACGCCGACACGCTGGAGGGATTCTTCGAGAACGTCACGTTGCTGACCCCGACGTTTGCGAGCAGTGCTTCGCTGCGGGTTCCGACCGCTACGTCAAACTTCGCGCGGAACATTCTTAATGGTCGCAACTACAACCTCGACTTGACTACGGCTCGCCTGTCCGTCTTGGCGGCGAAAACAATGACCAGATACCGGGACTTGCACCTCGTCGAAAACCGGTTCCTCCTGCTTTCGTCTGCGGTGTACAACTTCATCCGCACCGACACGTACAGTGCGTGGTTACCGAACATGGCTGTTCTGGGCCAGCTGATGACCGAAGGTCTGTGGGCCATGGCTCTGCGCAATATACGCTGGAACTCGCGAACGCACGCCAACATTTAGAAACTGAAAGACTGCTTCGTCGAGACTCACCTCGGAAAGAACTCCTCACTGGACGTCGGCCGGGTCTTTTACAGTGCGCTCGGGTTGTCCACTCTTCTGGGTGCCCTCAACTCGACCGAGTGGCACATGGTCAAGGTGGCCTGGGATCTCTGGGAGCTCTCCGATTCCCAGTTCTTTTACATCTTCGGCAGTCATCACCGCTGCCCGATGAAGTCGTCGCCAGCAGCGAGGGAATATATCAACGCCCCACTGACTTACGTCGATGACTTCGCCAGGGCCTTTAGCTGCTCGAGCAAGTCACCGATGACTAAAACGTCCCGGTGTCTTGTTGGTGATGCGTCACACAGCTGAATACTGAATTGACTCGGTGATTTGCCAGTTTCTGTTTTCACGTATCCCTTTTGCAGCATCGTCGCTATGTTCCTCTGATACCGGAAGTAAGTTCCTCTGATACCGGAAGTAAATACTGCTTTAATTTTTACGAGTAATAGTGAAAAAGGCAGATGATTCTTTACGCACACTGTTCTTCTCTCTCCTTTGTCGAAAATTGTGTGAATTATGCGTCGAATAAAACGTCTCTGGGTACTGCAGGCGCGAAAGTAAACCTTTTAAACTATATATAGAACTTAGCTCTGCAGAATGATAGTTGAATTGATGTTCTACTACTGTTAAACCTTACGAATGCCAGTCCTACCCACATCATCTCACTCCCCACTGATTACAGCGTCAACGCGCCAGTGCTTTGCTAGGAAATTTCTCGAGTATCACAAAACATGCCACAGTGCGCGATGATTAGCTTCTTTTCTTTCTCACTCTCCTCTATCTGTCCTTCGAGGCACTTAAGCACAGTGATTTTTTTCAACTTTCAGGCCGTGTCCTGCTGAAGTATTCCCTAATCTTGGATTTCTGATCCTTTCCTATCAGTAACGTGTCGAATTCAAGCAATAAAAAAAACTTAGTGTTATAGAGAACCGCGTCAAATAATTAATCTAGGTAGTCACAGTCTCAAAATGTGTGCAAGGTGGAGATGTAACACATTTTGCGTACATGTTACGGAGACGCAAGGAAACACTAAGTACCACGTGAAAACGTTTGCTTGAGCCTACATCTTCAAATCTCCAACGTCATTGTCTAACAAAAACCGCCAGACCTTGCAATTTTTTATCCTGTGGCGACGATGAACTGCCTGACGTTTTTCACTCGTTACGCAATGCACATTGTGGGACGCCTGGCTGTTCCTTTGGTGTTCTAAAAAGCTTTATTATTCATATTAAACTGATTTATACACCGTCATCAAGCCTGCCGAAGGCTATAGTTTCAAGCGGAGTTTAAAGCACCGACATGGCTCTGTAGTAAAATGTTGGACTGGCACGCACGGGGACCGGGTTCGAATCAAATATTGCGCGGCGAAAACGTGAAACTGCGCCAGGCGTCAAAACGTGTGAATTCAGCAATGAGTGGGTGTTCCGAAGGCCCGCCGCCCACCCATCACCAAGCACTCAGGCAAACTTGAACCATTTAAACAGCAACAGAGCCATCAACAAAGTGAACCGCTGCTTAGGTTCACGTATTGCTCTACGGACACCAAGGGAACGATTCACTGAATCTCAAAAGAAATAAAGATGGTGTAGGGGTCACTTAACAACCGGGCTTGCAGCAGGCATTTAATGACACTTTGAAACGTCCATTGTTGCATGCACAGTATATTGTTTTCTAAAACCCCTATCGATGGATGCACCGAGAAAAGAAGCAGGTTAGCAGTTCAGAAGGTGATACCTACGAGGGCTGATTACCATATCACGACCTGCACCTGAAAGCAAACTTCAATTCTCTACTCTAATGCCCTGAAGGCAAACTTCTACTCTAATTTTTTAACACCGTCATTGGAGCTGGAGACATCATGTGAGCAGCTGCAATCTTCATTACTACTGTGGCAGGTGATGATGATTTGTATCTAGTCCCTTTCGTTGGCAGCTTTCCAATGACTCGTAACGCAATTCGCGTTGTGTAACGCGTGGCGCGATTCCACGTTTATACCACGTAATATTACATCAGACTCCTTATCCGACATGAATGTATGGGGTATTTTCACACGACAGTTTAGAGCCATTTCATGGATTATCGGTGGACTGATTAGGTGCTGCGCAGTCTATCAATAAGCCAAGCCTGTTTCGATTCATTTTCTGGGTTGATTAATTCTCGGAAATTCATTCTCAGATGGTTCATTATCTGGTCCGGTTTATTCTAAAGCAGGCGAGCATTTTTTCACGACACGTGGCATTTCACAAGGCCATCATCTGATGAGGCCCTTGAGTCTTTCACCTTAAAACTTAGGTCTCGCAGGTTCATAATCATAAACTGTTACACCTCCCCTGGTTATTATTATTTAGCCTATACTCTCATACCCAAGATTACTTGGGACATTCTGACTAACGTTATTGTTTTTGACCAGGTAATGACCGCTGACCCGATGAATATCAACAAGAAATCAAAGACAACTGTTAACATTAAATGATTGCTAAGGTTTCATTGATCGGGAAATTCCTCAGGGGTAGCAGGCAGTATACGGCGTGTTCTTGTTTGTGCAGCCGTATACTGGGAATATTCACTCTGAAGGGCTTACGCTGCGTCGCCGAAATTCGTGTCGACCACGCATGATGAAGCCTTTCTTTAGCGCACCTTTAACAGAGCTAGCAAGCACTCTCCACCTAAACACCAACAAAAAACTAATTAAGCAAGCTGTTGCAGCTAGCTAAGTAGATTACCTCAGCTAGCTGCAACCTTCATAATACCTTCTTATTTAACGATGCCGCTCATAACACACGTTGGAATGATGACGACGGTGACAAATCGATAGCGCACAGAAAACAACAGGGACCTAGGTTTATTTGTTCCTTTATTTGACATTCCAGCAGCAGCAAGGACGAAACACAAACGTGACATTACTTGCCGATGCATAAATTACAGAGTTCTCCGATTAAATAAATGCGTACAACATCAAAACCAAGTCAGCCGGGGTTCACAGGAATGGGTTCCAGTTACTCGGTTGACGATGACGAACCGAAGTAAAATAGAGTAAGATCCGCGTAAAATATGCAGGTTTCTCACCAGACGCTTATAACAATGCAGTCACAAAAGCAGTAGGGCGAGAGGTGTATGGTACCTCTTGTCTAACAACAACAAAATATAAAACAAATGGGAATCGACAAAACGTGCAGAGTTCATTGATAAGTATTGTGTAAACGAGGACTGGAAGTAGAATCAATCCAAAAATATATCACTCTCCCCGCAGGAAGACACGGCCAGACTTGCTGACTACCACACCGAGCGCATACTTCTGCGCTCAATTCTCTTCCCAGCGATCGGCATTGAACAACGTGTAAACGCGAAACAATCCGCAGACTTTCTCTTTGCAATCAGAGCCTCACGCCCTCTCCTCTACACTAGTGTCTTTTTTCGGGATCCCGGGAGATCGCCCTGTCACACACGCCCGCACTTTCCGTAGCTGTCGCCCTTTCAGCAGGGCAATGCAGCAGTGGAGAAGCTTTTTTTTTGGTCAGCAAGATGAGGTTGTCTGCAAGGTTGACAGAAGTTGGTTTCATGGCAGAGACAACAACCGCTCATGCTCCTTAGGGGGCGAACAGGCCGGGACGCTGAACCATGCTCCGGAACAAGTTAGACGACGCCAGTGCACGTCCCAACGACTACGCATCGGCCCCTTTACGGTGGGGCTTTTCCTTCAGCGCTCTTCGAGACCTCAGGAAGCGACAAGGCAGTGCGGAGTGAGTTGGTACGAGCCACAGAAGAGATCTCTACAGCAATGAACGAAGTAGCAGGGCAAAGTTCGGGTCTCTCTATTCCTCGCGGTCGACCAGACGCTGCCGCTTGCCCGAGAAAGGAACCAGTTCATAGCCCGCCAGCGGACAGTCTCGCAGCAGTAGGTTTTCGAGTCGCGCCCTGGTCGCTCCTCGGGCCTTGACGAGCCTCGCGGTTGCACTGAGTTGGACCTTGTTCCACACCAGCTGGCGGTCCAGGAGTCGGTTGTTCACGCACAGGAACCTCGCGTGGAACTCGACCACGATATCCTTGACGATGGCACCGTCCTCCTTGCGGACGTCGCACGAAACTTCGGTCTGTTCGCCAAGGAGTTCGTCAAGCACCAGGTCACCGCACTCTTCGCCCTCGCTGTCCTGGACGCGGAAGCGGTCTCCGACCTGAACGGCGACCGGGGCGAAGCCGTAGCCCTGAGCGATGGTGTCCGAGTAGAAGAAGTTGTCATTCTCGTTCAGACCACCGGGCGGCGCCTCGAAGGTGATGCGCTTGCCGTAGCCCCGTCCCACGCTCTCCAGGTGAAGCGGCCGGCCTCCGAACAGGAAGCGGGAGGTGCGATTGACGCGCACTATGTAACGGAAACCCGGCACGACGCGCTTGTCCACGTAGGTACCTGCAGGCAACGTTAGGCAAAGATACATTAAGCAGTTCATCATAATCAGCCTCCACTACAGATAGTAATGTAAGCTTGCTAGCGAATTATCCGAACAAGATAGATGAAGCGCAAAACGATAAAAAGCATATGAGAAAGAGCATAAGGACAACACGAACCATTCCTAGGAACAGCTACATTATAGCTATAGTAAAACGGTAAGTTGGGCCAGTTGGTTAGAATCCATCGTGAAGTTACTTACAGCGCAACACCAGAAAAAATACAGGACAGGGAAGGAGCAAAAGAGGAACAAATGTATCGTAAGTTTACGATACATTATAGCTACTTGTTTTAGCTTTGCGGTGGACTGAAGGTCTGTTGGAACCCGCGCGGCAAGCGCATTTTCCCAGCCAAGCGTGATCTTTAATGTTTCGGCATGTGTTATAACCGGCGCAGAAATAAAAACTTTATCTGAAAACAGAGGAGGAAAATGAAGCCGAAACAACCAAGGACATTGTACCTAATTTATCTTCGTTATCCGCGAGCCTTGGAGGGTGAGGGGGGAATGAGACAACAATATATATAGTCTACGAGTCATTTGATTTGTACAGTTTAGTCCATGCCGATCTCCTTGCCAGTGATTCAAGCGTAATTAATAGTTTTTATAAGAATTTATAAGAATTTCGCTCTTCGCTTTCTTCCCCATTCTCCCATCCCTTAGTGCAGGGTAGCGAACCGGATGCTCCTATTTTTGATTAACCTCCCTGCTTTTCCCTCATTTTATTTTGTCTCTCTTTCTTGCCGTGAAGTATTAATCGATATGCTCTGTTTCTTAATGTCGTAGGCAATGACATCTTTCACTCCATCATCGTAAAACCGAAAGAAAACTTCCACAACTGAGACAGGTTTGATAATTTTTGATATGCACTGCCACATGAATGTTGCGAGTGCACTTCCTGAATTTCATATCGAGTTTGAAATTAGGATGTTCAAACAGTCTAAGACCCAAAATTGAGGGATCTCAATTTCGTACAAGGACTTATTCTAAGCGATATGTAATAAGCGCTGTGCAGTGTCCACAAGTATAACAGTGATAGATAAGGAACTTTTAGAGTCATAAAGAGTGTGTAACTATTGATAAAAAAGAAGAAGGAAAGCTTGACGTTAGAATGCGCTGCACTGTATAGGGCAGATGGATAGAGCCGATATCGCTGAAATTAAAAAGCACATTTGGCAAAAACTCGGCATGCGTAGATCGCATATTCTAAATCAATAAGCAGAATCAGTGCCAAGGGAAAGAACACAGTTGATTCATTAAATGGCACAAAAAGGGAGAAATTTCAAGTTGTAAAAAATGAACCTGGCTGGCATTACAGGGAATTGTTAATACTTAAGTCGGCGTCCTAGAGTAGACTTCGTGGATGACAATGAATTGAATTAAGTTGACGTGACAGCCGGTAGTTGTTGCAAGGCAACTGCATTTTGCGTAGCACATGGAACAAGCTTACAGGCGCGTGCTTCTTGGTATAGTGACGTCAGCTCTTCATGAACGCAAATATTTCAATTTCACCCTCAGGTCTATAATGGTTCTTTTTTTCCAGAATCGCTACTGGTACGGTAAAGCCTCAATAAATGCAGGCACACTTTGTTAATTAGCTCATGAACATAAGATTTGCGCGTGTGTGTTCATGATGTGTTCATATTCAAACAGCTCCTCTAAAGTTTGCCATTTTCCTTCTATGTCACCTTAACCATCATTAACTACAGGGTGCTGTCGGAAAACCAGGTGGGCAGATGAGATTCGGAAACTTGTAGCTATAACTTGGCAGCAGAAAGCACAGGGCCGTGTAAATTGACGGAACATGGGAGAGTTCTTTGCCCGGCGGTGGACGTAGTCAGCCTGATGATGATAATGACGATACTAAGAAGCCACGATTTACTTTATGTAATAAATTTACCAGTCTTGTGTACATCATCACCTGCTTAGCAAAAGGGCAGCTTCATAACATTAATCTAAATGACTAATTAAATATTTCCAAAAAGCTCCAGAATTTGGTTGTGGGCTGGAATCATGCGACTGCCTTTGTCACTTCTTCCGTTCACGTACTTTTTTATTTGCGCGACATTTCAGTTTGCCTGTTTTATTACTTCCAACATTTCAGTCGATAGCACATACAAAGCAGCGCGGCAACGATCTACATTGTCGTTACTTCGCGTACTTAATGCCAAACGCCATAGCGCGAGCGAAACGTTTCGATAGAGGGCGTACGATGACGCGAGATAAGCCTTCAGTAATACGTAATTTCTTTGCGATAATCGTCCTACCTTACGCAGTTGATTGAGCAGCGCACAAAATACATTCACGCACACTTAACAGAAGACGAAAGCAGAAACGCTGGTCACCGGAACGCAACTGTTACTGCTTGGCTAGATATTCTTGTAATTTAACGTTTGATTGGAGTGATTTTCGCTGTGCTACTTCTCAGAAATGGGCGGAGATCGTGCACAAAGAGAAACAAAAGGAAATCCTCTATAGGCCACGTAAATCGACAAATGGAAGGTCAAATCAATTGCTCCTCGGAATAATTTTCTAAAAAAAGCGAGAATACATCAGAATATAACGACATATTTGTTGAAATATTTCACGAAAACACGTCAAATCTGTGCAATTGTTCCTGTGGTCTTGCTCATACTTCCCTGCAGTCCTATAGCGCACGCGCTTGTTATTCTACACGAGGAGGGTCTTTCAAAAGCAACGCATCATTTGCAGTCTAGGCCTTGCGTTTGCCCCTTTGTTTTATATTTTCATGATTGCGTCTTTGTGCGCTGCTTTATGAATATCATCCAGTGACTTACGGACCAGCCCATCAGTACTTCTTAAGTAACCCGCTCTTTTTTGCGTATGCTATCTTGAAAAGGTGTTGTCCATTCAGCGTCAACAATGGTAAAGTATCGCACTCACCGATAACAGGGAACTCGTGCGGCTTGATACCGTTGACCACGTAACTGGTAGGCACATCGTTAATGTCCTCGCCCCTGACGATGTACAAAAAATCACTCGCCGCCGCTGTCTGGTTTCCTTTGGTCGCCTTCTGTAAAGAGGACGAAGACACGCCAAACATTGAAATAGAATTGACAGCTAGAAAAACACAGCAAATTTATGCTCAACTGCACATAAATTATCGCAAGAATTTTATTACGGGGGGTCTAGATATAGGCATGAACAAAATATGAAACAATGATGATAGGTCCTGTCATGACTTGAAAACCCAACGAAACCACGACAGAGGGAAGCAATATGAGTCAGACATGTAAAGCGCCAACACTTCTAACCAAGCGATGTTTCCCAATACGCCGAGGCTGTGCTGAAGTAGTGTACTCTTGAATTCGGAAACTTCATCTATGCAAAATTCAAATGGCCATACACTACACCTTGCCAAGTATCAAACGATATGGGTGGCGCAATATCTATAGCAAAGGTTTCTAGTCTCGGTTACCGTCCGTTTCGAATCAAGGCTCACCTCACCGCTTCAGTCTTTCGGCAAGCCTAAAACTTCTAATGCTAAAACTAAGGACAAATGGTGGCGTATAAGCTATACAACAGAAACGCCAACACACACACAAAAACTGACATGGGCGGAATGCAGTTAGGGTCGCCAAACCCGTGCAATCCTATCCCACCCTCGTTACTCAGCGCAGTCCCCCGCCCTTCACTTCGTTTCCTAGCCCTTCTGCGAGGTTGCGGGTTATTTTAGGAGCGGCGCAAGTCAAAACAAAAGCATCCTGCCCGTCTGGGAAGCCTTCGAGCGAGAGAAGGAAATAAGTCTGGAGTTAGCTGCAGACGGCGCAGCGGAGCTCGTCTGACGCGCGGAGGCGGGCGCATTGCGTCGATGAGTTCAGTCGTGCGGTCGCCAGCTGCCGAATGTGTGCCACGGGCGAGTACACTTGCTGTTTACTCTTTCGCCGCTCCCTCGCTCTCGTTGCTTCATCGGCGCGCCCGATCGTCCAGAACACGCGGATTCTCTAGGCCTATCAAGCCCAGCTGCTGCTGCAAGCGGCAATGACTGAGCAACGGCCGAGACCTTTGAAAGAAACCGAGCTGTCAGCCACGTGTCAGTGCCACGCGCAAGCGACTGTGCATACCAGCCGACGTCTTTAAGCTTCCCCATCTTGTCAGATGTTATAGTAATTCGCCTCAAAATTTGCCTTTTACGGACCGGATTTTCCACCAGCACGAAGGGAGCGATGCTGTGGATGGCTGTAAAAGATATGTGGCTCGGTGAGTTCCTTTCCGGCTGTCTACGCGTCTGTAGATTGAGCCTAGCCTTACTCGTACCTACTGCCCGGTGCGCGGATCCTATTATAAACTTTTGTGACATCTATACAAGCAGCTGCTTTGTCATCGCCAGTCGAGCTCGAATAAAAGCTTCGTACACTCACAAATGCCGTGTCTTGTGTGCCAACCATGTTAACGGCCATATGGTTTATTATACGATACCGCGTTCCATTTCTGCCCGCCGCTTCTATCCTGTACCCAATCAATATTATATCTCTTGTAACGGTAAGCTACAAAAGACATCGTGCTAGACTAAAACCTTGATCGTGCCCATTACGCTGCGTTGCTCCGCTACGCTGTATGCTGCTTCCAGATAAGCAGCCACTCCTCTATAATAGCTACAATAAGCAAAGTATGGACTCGTGCGAGATGGCTACCAGCCGTATGTGTTCGTTATCGTTTATATTCATCATCGTCAGCCTGACTGCCTGCCCTTCTGGGACGCTTGCCTTCTTTTGGAATCCAGTCTGCTATTCCTATTGGTGGTTTTGAGTACGCTCCACGTGCCCTGCACGTCCCTTCTTCGTGTACATTACGGTGCGCTATTCCATTGCACCGACTGCTTCATATAGGTACCCAATTAGTATGGTAATCTTCAAGACTGCGGCGGTGATAAGCGAAGAAAGCCTGGAGCCGCTTCAGCGTAGTTTCCAAGGTATTGCCGACGTGGCACTACCAGGCTGCGTGGACGGGCGTGACCTATAGCCTATACGAAATGCTTTTGCATACTACCAACCCTAGCTAACGGCTCCTCGAAGGACTCCTGCGGCGGTGGCTCGCTGAGGAAGTCCCTGTTCTCGAGCTGGCTCTCGGTGCTGCTGCTCTCGAAGGCGGCCGGTTCGTGCTGTTGGCAACAGCGGTGCTTCTCGGCTCCCCAGAAGGCTTCGAGCTGTTGCCAGCAGTCGTCGTTGACTTCTCCGGACCCGTCGCAGCGGTCGGCCTCTTCGCTAAGAAGCGATATGTTGGGTGCGTCGCATTCCGGAACGCTGCTGTAACGGGACACTCCTGTTTCCATCGAACGGTGGTCTGATTCCGTTAAAAGCGGACGCTCGCTGGCGGGAGTCTCAATCGCTGCTTGTGATGTCAGGGAAGGTTGAGGGCTGCGTCGAATGCTACTGGTTGATGTGCCGGGTCCCCCTTTGGTGTGGCGGATGCAATGGTCGGTAAAATAAAAAGAAGAAGCGGGCGAAAACAAATTTGTTCGCTGCCCGCTCTCTTTTGTTTTCTATTACGCGTCTATCGGTCGGTAGGTGGCTTTGTGTGCCTCGGCAGTAGATCGGAAAACGGTAGCGAATCTGCTCAAATGAAAACAACAAAATGATCGGCGGCGCTCGCTTTCACGTCGTAGCCGGCTTTGGTCCCACGAGCGAAGCGATGCAATCTGGCTCACGCAGAGACAAGACAAGACTGACTGCGTAGACACTCGCGGGATCTTTTTATAACCTTTGTTCCTGGTTCAGCGAGGGCCTATGCGCAGGCGCTCGTTCGGGGCACGAGGTGCGCACGTGAACACTTGAACGAACCAACCAATTGGGCAGTGGAGGCTCGCCCTGACGCTTTGCTCTGATTGGAACAGCGCTTCTGATGAGAGAGAGAGGCAGGAGAGAGAGAAGCGAGGAAGCAGAGAGAGTGCTCCAATTTAGCTCACTTCCTCCCCGTCTCCTCTGTTTCTGCATGCCCTCTCCCGCTATCTCGGATTGCGTGTCTCTCCTCTCAAGACAGACGATGTAGGAGAGAAAGAACGAGATGAAAGGGTGAAAGGCTTGGCGCCAGACGTGACGTCACCGAACGCAACCCGTTCGCCCGGTGCGTACATTCCGGAACGTTTTGATGATCTTGGCCCGCCCTACGTTGTATTGGGCGACAAACTAATGACGGCGATGACTTGCGCCGCGCAGACGATCATGGAAGGACTGTGCTTTTTTTCTGAGTCATTTATTTTTCTCGGAACTCCCGACGTCGCTGGCAGAGGAATTTATCGGAACGTAAAATGAAGTGCACCAAATCGACGCTGGAGTTCACAACCGGCCAATGTTGATTATGGCACCGTTTGAGAGCGTATACTGTCACCCCCTACACTAGTTCGTTTCTTTATTTCTTTGTTTAAAGTACAGTAGCTCGAGGTGGCCGTAAAGAAAGGAAGTAATTCATCAAGAAGTGATGCATCGAGTATCGCGGCAAAACAAACAAGTGTCTGTATTCTTTCTGTTCCGCATTCTTGCGTGGTCTTTTGTCAACGAACCGGGAAGGCATATTAAACATCACATTAAAAATATCTAGAAATACTGTACAACCCGTGAAAAGAGGTGCACAACAGATTGAAAGAACGTTGCTGAAATGCTTTCGTTCTTGTACCCTAAGGTACCATAGACATCGAATGAAACCCGGCCAGTGGTGAGTATTAGCAATGGTATATTGCACCATCGGAGTGCCGTGCGTCCTTGACAGGCGCACAACACTCCGATTTGGCAGCATTGCGCATGTCCACGATGATGACTGACCGGCGCCCAACTCTATTACTGCTAAGACTTACCGTTGCTCGGGTTTCACTTGACGTCGATACTGTTTCACTCCATAGCAGGAAACCTCACACAGGTTCCAACAACGCAAAGACGCACAGCGAACGCATCTCGTAGCTGTGTAAGTACGCGTACGAAAAAAAAAAAAAAAAGCTATGAGACGCCGTATCTCGAGCTACTATACCTGATGTTATAAGATTCGCAAATCATGGTGACCATAGCTGGAAATCAACACGTCTTCCGTTCCTGTCGTCGGCGGAATTCGTGGCTGCCTATAGAGTCATCTCGGGAGGAGCTCTTATCAGGACGAGTCACTTGAGCGGGATTCCCGCTCGCTGTGCGAACGCAGCTGTCATGGAAAAATACCGGCGCTATCGGCGCAACTGCTGTGCACAGCTGTCGTTGTTACGGCGACCTCGTCAAGGCTCTGTTGACCTTACGAGGCTTTAGACACTGTATACAATAACTGCCCGTTGGCGAAACCATTTCTTTTCATTTGGGCATTTTTTGTATTACATATACGCATTGCTCGCTTCGTACGACCCACTTCCTGCGTCGGTTAGCGTTTGACTCAGAGTTACATACGGTGGCCGGTGACTCATGATTTTTTTTTATAAGTTCAGAACAACTGTTCCAAGTGATAAATACGCCAATTTCATTATCGCGAAACACACCTGTACGGTGTATACATGTCTGCCTTTGTGTGGTTGACGGTAAAAATTTGTGAAAGCAGCGCTGAGTGAATCTAGTTGAACAACGCGAAACATTTTGTTACGAGTATAAACATTTTGTATTGTAGAAACATTTAGACAGTAGAAACATTTTGTTTAGAACGTTTTGTTTAGAAAAACATTTTGTTTAGAAACGTTTTGTTTAGAAAACAGTAGAAACATTTTGTATTGCGAGTATAAACAGGAATAATTGGTACTAACAAAAAAAAAAGAGACGGATGCTGACCTAGAACGAACGAGCATCCAAAAACAAAGAAATGAACAACTAACTTTAGTACCACTGCCCCGAATTGAACAATATTGGTCATTTCAGCTCGATAACTTGCATAGCCGACACACTCTTTTGCGGCATCGATAGCGCGGTAGTCATTTTAAGTCATGCATCCTCACCAACCTGTCAAACGGTCCACTCTTGTATGGACCTGTGAATTTATCGCGATAAAGATTAAACCCTAAGTGCTCAAAAGCTCGCACTTTTTAAATCTTGCGTTCTTTAATATACCTCGCATAGAAGGTTATAGCTTTTCAAATCGAACAGTGAACAAAGAATGCGCTTTCATTTTCTTCAAACTGACACATCGGCGTTTTTGGGGACTTAGGGCAAGGAAAGGTAGTTAGGGGCTTCAGTCACGTGACGGCGTCCTCGTTCGATGTTACCGCACGTGACGGTAGCGATGACGTCATACGAGAGCGTCATCGCTCGGTGACGATTCTCTGTACCACTCGTTCGCGTTGACACCGACGCTGCTGTATGCGCCGACGGTCAATTTTTCGGGCTCCATAAAGGGGCCTCCGCCTTAAAGAGGCCTTAAACGACTCCCCGAAATACGAAGCGCATCATTCTCTCCCGCGGCGTGTCGCGGCACAATTCATGACGCCAGCAGTTTGGTCGCGTGACGTCAGGATGAACTAAACTCCCGATTGGTTGATATACAAGGGATATCCTGCAGGCCAATTTTCTCCTACCCTGATTTCACGTGCAGTCACACGCCCTTCCTGCCTTGTCTCGCGTGACTATCGTGAGCGGTAAATTGATTTCACTTCGTTCGCCGCGGTGGTCTAGTGGCTAAGGTACTCGGCGGCTGACCCGCAGGTCGCGGGTTCGAATCCCGGCTGCGGCGGCTGCATTTCTGATGGAGGTGGAAATGTTGTAGGCCCGTGTGCTCAGATTTGGGTGCACGTTAAAGAACCCCAGGTGGTCGAAATTTCCGGAGCCCTCCACTACGGCGTCTCTCATAATCATATGGTGGTTTTGGGACGTTAAACCCTACATATCAATCAATCAAACTGATTTCACTTCGTTCTCTGAATTCGAGACTGCGCTCGCCGAAAAGCGCGAAATCCCGACTGACTCAACACCTAACGCCGTCATTTCTCATGTTTCATGAAGAAATAAGTGAACAGGTGGAAAAGGCGCTTCCAGGAAGAAGAATAGGGAAGGAACTAATGTTTCGTCTTTGAACTCGCAGTTGTTTAGGGGTCACAAACCCAAACGTAAGAAACAGCGACGGATCCGCACGCAGTAATTTTCCGTCAAGAAACAAGGGGCGGCATCGTGAATGCCGAGTCAACGACCACCACAGGGCGCTTTCTAAACGGAATGCAGACGGGATAATTGCCCTCGGCTGTGAAACGTAGCCCGCGTGCACGCCCAGACGCGAGTCTGGCTCCGCGGGGGAGTTTGGATATTTTCTTATCGTTCGCACGTCTCGTACACCTCTGGCTACGGGCGGCCCCGAGGCAGTGCTACAGCGGGTGATCTTCCCAGAGCAGTCTTTCCTACTGAATGCAAACCGCGAATAAAAGCACGGCTACAAAAAGACCAGTCAGATACGTCGGCAGCTTTCCATCATTTTTCTTTTTTTTTTGTATCTGGAACCTGTGGTGAAGGAGTAAATAAAAACTCGCAGACGCGTTTTCTATAGAAGCATCAAGGTGGGGCATGAACGAATTAGTCTCGTGTGAAAACCTTCCGCTGGGAAACAACTACCCGTGATTTTTGTGTTGGTCTTGCCAGTGTCCCAGGTGAGGTTGCCTGTTTGATCCCCGAATACGGGGGTCGCATTTAGATGGTGCACGTTAAGGAACCCTGTATGGTCGAAAATAATGACGAGTCGCCTGCTGCGCTACGGTGCACTATAGCGTACTACACTCGTTGACACCTCATCGTGACATTAAAACGAAGGCTTACGGAGGTGGGGCTTCAGCACATTCATGTTGGCTGCACAGGTAGAACGCGTCAGCTTGCGAAGGATTTCGTTTTTGCGAAGTCCTATCGTGGCCGAGTGTAGACCAACGTATACACGAAAACCGTGAATGGGCAATACCTTTCGATTTTTCAGTATACATTTTAGCGCCATAATGTGGCCATATTATGAGTACTATTCAGTTTTTGGAAGAACTAAATAGTGCGTTTGCGGCCACACACTGATCCATATACGTAAATAGCGCCATCTATACTCTGGGAAACGCGTGTGCTAGAAGAGTGGGGCAGTCTAAGAAATGGAAATAAAATGAAGGCATTCTCGTAAACAGAATATTTACTGTACTTTACATGTGACTTCCCGCAAATGTTTGAATCTCGTTATACATAAAGCAAATTCATTTTAAGACCCACCTTTCTGCTCTCCTTGTCTAACTCCGTAATCATGAGTTGCAATTCGTCCCCTGAGTTACTCAGCAATGCAATGTCATCGGCGAAGCGCAGGTTACTAAGGTACTCTTTATTAACTCTTATCCCTAACTGTTCCCATTCTAGGCTTCTGAAAACATCCTGTAAGCACGCGGTATATAGAATTGGAGAGATTGTGTCCCCCTGCCTTACACCCTTCTTGATTGGTATTCTGTTGCTTTCTTTATGGAGCACTATGGTAGCAGTTGATACACTGTAGATTTCTTCCAGGATGTTTATATATACTTTATCGACGCCCTGATTCCGCAGTGTCAGCATGACGGCTGATATTTCTACTGAATCAAACGCCTTCTCGTAATCTAGGAAGGCTATCTATAGTGGTTGTTTATATTCTGAGCATTTCTCTATTACCTGATTGATAGTATGAATGTAGTCGATTGTTGTGTAGCCTGTTCGAAATCCTGCTTGTTCCTTTGGTTGATTGAATTCTAATGTTTTCTTTACTCTGTTAGCAATTACCTTTGTAAATAGCTTGTATACTAC